GAGAGGAGATATTGGAGACACTTGACGTAAGACACAGAGATACAGAGAGAGAGATATATAAATAAGAGAGCTGAGAGATGAGAGAGAAAATGCAGAAGAGAGAGACGTTTGAGAGATCGTACTACTCTAGCCAGTGCTGAGAGAGAATACTTTCGATCCTCCGCTAGAGAACAGAGCCACTTTTGGACGTTAACGCGACTGCCCTCCGCTCACAGTCCCGCGCAGATGCCCGAGAGACGAGGCTGAGAGAGCATAGTCCCATGAGAGATGACCGTCATTAGAAAACGTGGATTGTTGAGAGTAAGCTAAGTAGAAGACGAGAGATGAAGAGTCCGTGATGGACGACTGCTTGGAAGAAGAGAGAGAAGAGAGATGAGAGAAAGAAAGAAATATGAAAAGTGTCAGTTCAATGACACCTGTCGTTATGGTGCTTCACCTACAAAATACGACGTTACTAATTTGAATGAATGTGCAGTAAGGAAGAGAGGGTCATGGCAGTTCGGAGTGTTCTGTTTATAGATGGTTTTGTGCAGACCCATCCGATCTTGATTTTCCCGCCCCGTACGATCTATATAGAAACGATTGCCAATTTGCGTATATCGCAATTAATTAATTGTATAAACCAAAAATGAAAATCACAATTCGTGTGACCGTAAGATGGCCGCTTATTACCCGCTTTGTGTAAGTGCATGGCTTGCATGTGATAATAAATAGCGTTATGCTCGCGGTCGTTCCGACATGTTTTAGTAATCTTTCTCTAATATTAGCACGTTTTTATCGGTCAGACAGTGTACGACGAGGAAATACCAATTTTGCATTCAAGATATCTGTCATATGAAATCCTTTGCAAACGCGCAACCAGACGATCTTCGGTAGACACCACAGGACTGTCTTGTGTATATAATACTGTATTCATAATTGGCCAAACCTTACCCTAATTTGCATAATTTTTGTCTTAAAATATCAAAAACCCCTCAGCCCTGTGTGGTCTTCACATACCAAAATTTAGCAAAATCGGTTGAACTGAAGCTGGACTAATTGGCAAGTTCCCATTTTTTGCCAAAAAAGGACTGGCGTACATCACTTCCATTATGGGGGAGCATTAGCATGTAACAACTTACACCCAAATTTCAAACAATGTTTGGGGTTTCAACGCGTTCCTGACCGGCTTATCGTTTTGTGACCGAAACCAAATGTTGACGGTGCGGACGGACGGACGTACGACGGACGACGACCCATGGTGCAATAGCTCAACTTGACGAAATAGAAACAAGGTGAGGGCTAAAGAGAGAGAGAGAGAGATAGAGAGAGGATGATGAGAGAGAGATGAGAGTAGAGAGATGCGGAGGAGTGGAAGACGAGAGACGAGATGACGACGACGCGGACGGTCACAGCCGCGCAGGGAGAGGTGAGCAGAGATGATCGACAATGTGGGGGAGGGGCGTCTCAACGAGGGAGGAGGAGAGATACAGAGACAAAGAGCCGTTTTTCCGACTATAGGGCCGGTTGTGAGAAATGTGAGTAAGAGAGAGAGAGAAAAGAGAAGATTCGAGACGAGAGAGGTAGGAGATGCGCAGAGAGATGAGAGACGCGAGATAGAGAGAGAGAGAGAGAGAGAGAGAGAGATAGAGAGAGAGAGAGAGAATCGCCATTCACAACCGACTATTATGGAGCAACCAGTGAAGGCAGCCTTGCGTTTTACATAAGCTGTTGTTTATTAAAAGTTTAAATGACGTCAATGGTACATCACAAGTTCGCTGTGTAGTCGCACAGAGAGAGAGGAGCAGACTTGTAAACTAGAGAACAGTACGTCAATACATACATGAATGCGTCTATATAATGTATACATATACGCAGAGGCCCCCACAGACAAACAATCGCCACGGCCCCTGAACATGCGTACCCAGCACTCTCTCATACAGAGTTTCAACTACAAAACATTCTATATTCAAGCGTACTGTCTGTCACCCAGCGAGTATTTTTTCGCAGTCATCCGAATTATGACAGAGCCTTAAAAGTTGCCAATATAGTTTCGCAGCCCTTTCGGGGGGCGTGCATGATTTTTCGCCATCCCCTTGTGGAGAACGACCAAAGCTCTTCATAAGAGAAGAGCCTGCTGCTCACACAGCGCCCTCTCACTGACACAGTCGCAAGCGTCCATAGACACACGCAATATAGACGAGGGAGTTTCTGTGCGTAGCAAGTGAAACGTCATAGTAAGTAACTCGCAACTCGTACTGGCGACATACGTTCCAGTGTTAACCCTGTGAAGAAAATGACCATGTTCCGAAAGCGAACTGCTACGAAATACACACACACACCTTTCACGAGGAAATGGTTTCCCTCTTCTGTAGACTTGGACAAATTTATTAAGAGTACATGATAAGAATTAGCATTACACACACCGCGAGTGCCAGACCCACAGCGCGTTGATCAGGTATGAAATTAACACGGTCACAGCCTAGATCGAAACATGCCAATCCTTCGTTCATTAAGGCTGCCAGGGTTTATATCTCCCTGGGTACTGCCGGAACGTACCCTGGGTGCGGTGATTAAGGTAACCTCTTTCTCTCTCTCTCGCCTCCTCCTCCTCCTCCTCCTCCTCATCTCTCACTGACACACAGCTCGCTACTCCTTTCTCTACGTCGTCTACACCGTCATTGGAAATTTGATCGTATTTTACAATATCACCAAGATGTCAATAATGCGATATCAGGTTTACACTCTTAAAATATCGGTGACAAATATATCATTCACAGTAGGTCTAGT